GCCCGGGTCCCACGGCCGGCCCCGCGCCCCCGGGGCCCCAAACCCACCCCAGGGACAAGTGGAGCAAAAAAATGGATTTCCTCCTCTCGGTCATAGGATTCGCTGTCGATCTGGGCAACGTCTGGCGGTTCCCTTACATCTGCTACCAAAACGGAGGAGGTAAGGACACCGCTAGGACTATCTAAGCCTTCTTTTGGAGAAAAGAAATCTGGTTTTCATCTTTCCAGTGCAGAAAAACTCGCTGTTTTTCTTTGTCTCTAGCTGCTCCTCTCTGGAGAGGGCGGTTTAGTGACCGACCCAACTTCTCCTGACATCCGTCTCTTTTCTGTTTTGTGTCTTTCTTCATTCAAAATCCCCCTCCCTTTGCTCCCTCCCCGCCGGCGTTCGCTCCTTCCCCGGCACGGCTAGAGGTGCGTTAGCAGCTCTAGGATCACAAAGCGAAAACGAGCGTGGTCCCAACCGTGTAAAAGGATTAAGAACCTGCAAATTTGGGGTGGGAGGTTTGTACCCTTTATGGTCTCGTGACTTTGTGAAAGCAACCCTTGCTCCAGCCTCGTGCATTAAAATAATCCTCGCCGATGCCAGCCGTGCACCCGGCAGTGCTGGACCCCACCGGGGAGCCCCAGCTCCTGGGACACCCAGCCCCGTGCCACGCAGGGCTCCGGGTGTTCGCTCCCATGAGGCATCAACAGAAAGTTAAAGTACAAAAGCTCCTCGAAGGAAAAAAAAAAATCCTTGCGTAAATGACATCTAAATAAATTGCTTTAAATAGAGCAGGGTAGGAAAAAAACCCCTCGCGTGGAAATTAAAAATGAGGAATGAAAATCTTGTGCTGTTTGCAAAAAGCACAGTGGATTTAATTCCCAAAGTCGGCATCCGAGTAACGTCCTCTACTGCTCGGGAAGATGAGAAGGAGGTAATTAGTACCATACTCAAGGCTAAAACGGGGATCCCAGGGGCCCACACTGAAGCATGGTTATTTGTCATTTACTCCCGTGGGACCGGGAGCCAACTTTAGCCCCTCTTCACCGGCGTGGCCCAGGCAGATGCTTTCCTCGCCCACCTCGGGCTTGCAGGAGGGCAAGGAGTTCGAAGAGCAGCCCCTGGGAAGGACAGCGATGGTCCCTGCAGAGCCGGGTGAGCTCACCCATCAGCCGGAGCCATTCCAAAAAGAGAAACCCGTGAGGGCTGTTCCCGGGAATGTGGCACCTCTGGGCCCGCAGCCCTGCCGGGCAAACGGGGGCTCGCGGGAGGACGCTGGGGATGCCGCACCGCACGCCTCCCCCCGCGCACCGCGGGCTCTCAGGGAGAGGAGCCGCGGGGGTCAGTACACCCAT